TCTGTCTGTCTGTCTGTCTGTAGGTATGTATGTATGTGTGTATGTATGGTAATATATATATACATACATATACATACATACACCGCCAAGACTAGCTAGTGTAAGTTTATGCTCACCAACCTTATGGTCTTCACTGTAGACGTCTCTGCCAGGCTTGCGAGGCAGTTACGCAGTGTTCACCATATCTCGAATCTGTGTCATAAGGCGGCTACATGAGTCCGAAAACACGATAAGATAAGGCCTATCTTAAGATGTTGATGCTGCAGAACTCCAAAACCATGAACACATGCCCGATCCCCTTGTCAGATCAGGATGCGGAGAGAGGACCGCCTTCGCGCACCACAAACTCACCTGATGAGAGCACGTGAGCTCTGAGAATCTTTGTGTGGCAGTTCTCAACGCAGTCTTATTCTTGCTGTTCGAGTTTGCATTGGGATTGATCTTCACTTGCGTCTTCTGATTGTCAAGGAGCTCTCTGACATCACCGGTATGCAGTGAAAGTAAATATATGGCAAGAAAACACATCTACATATGTACAGGTGCACATCTGTCAACATGTACCACGACTGAGAAGGAAACGCAGAGTCCCATCTTTAGATTAAGTCTTTGGGGGCTCCTTATTGTAACTACAGTGCAAGATACTCCCAAACCCCTATGCTAATATCAATCGTTGAGACCCCTATGTTATCTTTACATCCGTCAGGTGACAGGTCTCCACGTCACAGACGCCGGTCGTCACATACAGGTTGAGGATGGTCATGCCGCAGGCATGAAGGACCTACTTGGAGGTTCATGGGTACTTATAATTGTAAGTAGGGGCCACAAGTCCCCTAATATGGGTTATAATTATAAGTGGGGTTCCTTTGAGGGTTCTGTAGGGTCTATAGGGTCTAGGGTCTGGGGTAGTTCTAAGTGGTATAGGACAATTGGGTCAAGGCAGGATGAGGGAAACCGTGTGTCATTACCTCATTTGCATCAAGGGAATCTAGACAGCGCACAAAGTAAAATAGCTTCCAGCACTGGCCAAGTTTATGCGACTCATGACAGACCAGGCTGACGGCAAACTACTGAATAGTATGTGCTGCTTCTGTTTTCAACACGACGTAGGAAAGGAAAGCTTGTCTGTCAGGGCAAGTGCCCTCATGTAGCTCGCTCTTGCAGGTTTGAGCGCTTCACCGGCTTGCTACAGAAAGCACGACTGCATTGCTGCCTAGCCACGAGGAATGCAGCATCAATGCCAAACATACAGGGAAAGGAATGCCTCTTAGACGAAGATGGTTGTGACGATGACGATGCCCAAGCTGACGACGACGATGATGGTAATGATGGTGATGATGACGATGATGGTGACGACGGCAACGAAAGCAATATGATACAAGTATGATGAACAATGATGATGATGATGATGATGATCTTGTTGATGATGACGATGATGATAGTGACGGTGATGACGATGATGGTGTGAAAGAAGATGAGCGTGACGATGAAAATGCTGACGGTGGTGAGGATGATGCCTAGTTCTGCTTCCTTGATCATTGCTAAATGCTGTTGTCGTTTTGCGCACTGATTGAGTGCTACCTTAGAGTTGCTGCCAGATCATGGCCACTGGACAGCATTCACAACCGCGGCCTCCGAGATTTTGGCGAGCTGACCAACCTGCAGTTGTGGAAGTGCTTTCTACTTGGAGGTTCATGGGTAGTTGTAAGTGGGGTTATAAGTAGGGTAACTGTAATTATAACCCTTTTTAGGGGACTTCTAATCCCGTTTATAGCTACCCATGAACCTCCAAGTAATTGCAAGGCAGAAGCGTTTGTCAAGGCCAGGTTCTTCTGTTGAATTCAGGGACGCTGGGTGGTGCATCACACGTGGTCACCATGTAGATTTCCACATTGACATGTGGCAGACTATTGGGAACTGATTTGGGAAACTGCTGGGAACGAGTCAGGACAGGTACAATCTCAAAGGATTAGATAGCATCCTTTGAAGGTTTGAGGAAAATGGCGGAGCGCAGGTACGCAAACCGCTTCTCATGCGCTATTCAGAAGAGTCCGGAGGACACTCAGAATCAGCCACCTCAACACTGGGGCGGCAAAGACACCCCAAACACTAAATCTCTCGATACCCAAACACCTAAAAACCTAAAAGCAGAAACCCTACAACCCGATGATTCGAAACACCCTTAACAGCTACAACCCGAAACCTTATAACCCTCTGCCTTATTGCACCCCATAACCAAAACCCATACAGACCCTATAGCCCTAAGCCCCTAAGTTGCCCTATAACCCCTAAGCCCTGAACTGCAACCCTACTCTGCCAGGACTGCAGGGCCGGCAAGGGGAGTAATGAGAACTGAAAGGGTAAAGAGGACGCCAAATGGGTAGTCCCCTTTTTTAGGTCCCAAATATACCCCAAGAGGGACCCTGCTTTGGAGAACTGACCAAACTATAGCTTCGAGCTTGGGATTTGGCCTGTAGGGATGAGGATCACAACAGACACGGACATGACTACGCGACACCAATAGCAGAACAAGCTAGACGGAATTCAAAGGGCAACAAGAAAAGAACCATTAAACTCTTAGGAACGGAGAACGACGGGCTGAAAACAACAACAACAACAACAACAACACCCACGTGTCTTTGCTCTCACTATGCTTCTTCAAGCGTTCCCGCTCTTGTTTCTTCAGGCATAGGCACGAAAACTTCTCATGACCAGACACTAACCACGAAATTCGAAGCCCTCACCCCCACCAGATACATTATAAGGGCTGAGCACCGAAAACTAGAAGGCGATATGGTCGACAGTTTGAGCACTACGATGGGCCATAAGCATTATCAGTGATCGGTGCCATCGGTCCTGTTACTATGGCTACACACCAACTGTCGATTGTCGAGTAATTTACCGAATCCGTTGGATCGTTGCTTGTTACAACCATTCAACAAAAATCCGGTAAAAAACAGCGGCGCAATACTGCCTGGTCCATCCCAAAGAGGCGGATGGTCCCCGCGATTCGGGTGGCCTCCGACTTTAGACAGGGTGGTGGATCGCGGAGCGCTGGAAAATCAAGGATCTGGATAACTTAGATCCCCTAAACTTAACCCTAAACCCTAAATCCTAAAGCTCTAAACCCTAAATTAGATCTTTGATCGGATCCAGGGACCTTATCGTCTTAACCGGAGTGGTCGTGTAGCAGCAATCTCTATCCAATGCCAATGCTTACAATTCGGAACTCGGCTTGAACGGCCTATTGTCTTGAATGGTCAGGATCCCAAAGCAATGATTGTCATGCCCAGTTCTCACCTACGGTATGGCCGGAAATTTCTGCGATCAGTCGCACAGCTCTCGTGGTCACGACTACTACTCTTGGTATTGCTATTCATGTGCACACGCTTGTCCTTCCGAGGTTCAAGTTTAGGGTTTAGGGCCGGTGTCGGGTTGAGAACCCTGAACCCCGAAACCCTAAAGCCGTAAACCCCTGCCCCAAACCCGCATCTCAAATTCTAAGCCCCTGTGTCTAGCGAGTGTAAGCCCCCTGCAGTCGTCTTTCTCTCGGCTACGGCTCCTCCGGCTGTGACCTCAGCAAGTCTAGCACCTCTTCAGCGGTGGGGTTTCGAGGTGGTCGCGAGTCGTGCTTTGGGCCATATACTTCGAGCCCCAAAACTTTAAAACCCCACTGCCCTTCCGGGGAGGAAAGCAACAAGTTGAAGCGGGCGCTGAAAGCTCAGCCTTTAGCTCTTTCGGCTTCCAATGCATCGGAGACAGTTCCTGAAAATTAAGGGAAGTTTTCTTGGTTTGCGAAAAATGCTTCCTATGTGGATGGAAAGGACAGAATCTGATTTTCGGGTTGCTAAAGCTTTCATCCAAGGCATTTCCGATGATGATGATGATGATGACGACGATGACGATACTGACGCTGCAGGATGCTTTTGGCGCTCATGCCGACGAGGACAAGGAAGCGAAAGCGGACTCTGCATGTGTGAAGTACCAATGCATTCGACATGATTTTGTCTCACCTATCGTTGACTTCTTATCGTCAACATCCCTTGAAGCCAATGCAGCTGCGGAGCTGTGCACACCAACCCTGGGAACTGAGTGTGGAAGAGGTCCGACATCTTCGCCAGGTTGTCCTCCAGCTTGGCTCAGAGCGATCGGGCCTTTGGGCCTTTGGATGTTTAGTTAACGTGTTAGTTGCGATCCTCTTCACTACTTTGGGGGTGTCGGGACTTGACTTGCACCATTCATGCGATTACTTATTCCTAACGTGTAATACCACCAGTCGTACTATCGACCGGATCCAGAGTCTGCTAGAAAACGGAAGTCAAGAGATAAATGCAACGCCCCAACCCCAACATGTTCCCAGCGCCTCTCGCACAACGGCTTTGAGCAGAAATGCAACAGCCAATTCGTCGCCTGGGGCACACGGGCACACATGGTGCAGGCGAGGAGGCCGCTAAACTTTTCTCTGCCACCCGGCTGTTCCACTTATAGCTCGCTGACATGACTAGCATTAGAGTTGGGAGAAAGATCGGCAGCAGCATAAGTCGTAGTGGTAGTAGGAGGGCGGGGAGAGGAAAGCCGCCAACCTGGCCAAGTATGATGAGCGATGTGTGGGCCATTCAGAACCCACTATTATTACTATTAGTACCATTATGATTATGATTATGTGATGATGATTGTTATCATTAATAGCACTAATCACTAATATATCAGAAACCACTCTGGGCTCCTGACTTGGTGCTGTCGTCTGCTCGGTTCGCTGCAAAGTGGGAGAGAACGGAGCCTCAAAGATCAGGCCACGGCGTCAAGAGTCCGCTGATTTCCCTTCGTGGTCACGGCTCTTCGTACTTATTGCCATGCTGCCGGGATCTGTCCGGCCGGCACCACAAGGGGAGACTTAAGATTCGGGGTTCAGAAGTATAACGGTCTAGGGCTTGATCAAGCGTCAACACCAACCTGATCTACCTTCAACGCTCTAACACTGCAGCTGGTGACCTTCAAAGCCCAGGTTCAACCAAGCATGATGCTGGCACGAGGCAATCTTCGTATTGAAGGCGTTGACGACGAAGCCTCAAGCTCAGCAGAGGAATGGTAGCTGGGACGAAGAACTCCAACAGCTACAGAGACCAAAATACAGTAGTGATAATACAAAAACAGAGGAATAGCAGTCATGCTAACATTCTTCGGTGTGGATGTAATGAGGCATACTGAAAGAAAACCACATTCGCGTCTTCAGACACGAGCTTACCAACTGCATCAGCCCTCGAATGACGAGCTCTTGGGGGCCGTACACAATATGGGTAGCTTTCTAAGTTAGGGTCCCTTTGGGGGTCCTTTTTATAAGGGTGCCGTACTATATTGGGGACCTAAAAGAGGACCCTAATTTAGAGAACTACCCATATGATCGAAGCCACGAAGTTGGAACTTTCTCATCCTCACACCCTTAAGGTAGAGAGTTTTGGGGATCCCTGTGCTACTGTAATCATCCCTAAAACCCATGGTTGCAACTTTCTGGGGCCTTCGCTTTTTAGGACTACGCCGCAGCAGACCCAAGAGTTGAGCCCTAGAAGCCCGAAGCCCAAAACTTTGCAGCATTCTAGGGTTTTGGGTCTTTGGGGTTTCGGGTTTAGGGTTTTAGGGTTTTTAGGGTTTAGGGTTTTAGGGTTTTAGGGTTGAGGGTTTAGGGTTTAGGGTCCCGACAAAGAAGTATTCCTTTCACCTCAAAACATAAGGCAGACAGGTCTCAGTCAAGGGTCACTACTTGAGATATTAAAAAGTATTGAAATCTCAGAAGACTCTGAGTTTACAGTTGAAGCATGACAGAAAGCAACAACACATTAGGGTAAGAGGGATCGAGGTAGTACTGTAGGAGTGGTCCCTTTATGTCCCCAATATGTATAGCACAACATGCCCCAAATGCTGTTGGCCCTTATATGCATGAATTTCGATCAGACACGTGGGCAGCGGCGCGCCATGGAAAGCATGGCCTCCTGCTCGTAGGACCAAGCATAAGAGTCGTCAAGATCAGCAGTGTCAGTGGTAAGGCGGCCTTCTACTTTGATGATATTATTAGGGCCTGCATCAGGCCATATGAAGGACTTTCAACAACGTGACCTCGCCCGGTGTCCTGCCAGACTTTGCAAGATACAATGCCTGATACCTGAACTTGCATGGGCTGTTTTTTGTTTGGAACGGCCGGCACTCTCGACCCCGTCTACAGACACCCGTTCTGGAAACACATCCCTTGTCGAGACAACTACAGCTGGACAATGGGTGAGCAATGTACTCAATCAGCACGAAAACTCGCCCTGCTCAGCTCTGCATCTGTACAGTAAAGACTGGCTGGTTCGCAGCAAGAATCTTAGCTCAGACCGTGATCTCGCTGGAAT